GCCCAAGAGCTGATGAGACACCTGATAAATCACCTCCCTTTTCACCTCCTGAACCATCACCTGCAATATGCAGGTGCATTAGTGAACAAAAAGCTCACTAGTCATCAGGATGAGACATTTTTCAGGGAGCTCCTCTCCGGGGAACAAGCCCAAATGGAAGCTGGTTAGATTTAAAAAAAGATCTGTAATTCTCAGAAATCTTATTCATTATTAACAGAGCATTTCATAATACTGATGAGAATGTCAGAATTCAAATGCTTTAACTGTAAGATCACAAAAATATTTAACCTGAGTTAAATTTATCTTGATGTGCCTTTGGAGCTGCTCTTTGTTCCTTTCTCAAAGCAGTTAAAGTTGCAAACAAATCCATCTTGTTTTATTGTCAGCAGCATCTATTCTGCTTATCAGGCACTTAGGTGAATTTATTAACAAACCTATTTTTAACCCACGAACGCATAAATCTGTTGAAAGCGGCATCTTGATAAAAGCTCAGGAATCAAGAGGAAAAAACAGCAAAAAAAAGACTAAGAGGGAAAAGCTACATGCCAGGGACTCCCAGGAGGGGACAGGGCTCCTTTACATGTCATTTTTCATCGAATAAATCCACAAAATCTAAGTGAAGGCAACTGGTCCACACGGCATCAGAGCCGTGCACGTCAGCAGGGCAGGAGGATTTCCACAGCTCGCTGCTTCCCCTTTAAGCTGCTTTTCCAACATACCTGTGTCCCTGCTCGGGATGATCCCCTGACAATCCAGCAGGGAACAGAGTGTAGATCATCATGTTAACAAGAAGTGTGGCCCCATTTCACCTGAGGGGAGTGACAGCACTTGCCACACGGAAAACAGCCTTTCCTTTACTTCCCTCGGGAAACTGCTGCTCGTGGCAGAAAATGCTGCTTGGGTGAGTTTTGCAGAGTGGCAAGAAACGTCTGTAGGTCTGTTCTGCAGGATTTTGGTAAGACTGGTTATTTTCCCATGTTCTGCTGCATTCCAGCAGCAAAGCTCCCGAGCCCACGCCGGCGGCGCCGTGAGGTGCAAAGTTCCCCCGGAGCAGCACACGGTTCTCTGACCAGTTTTCTTTTCAGTAGCAGATTTTTGAACATTAACAGTTGGCTGCTTTTACACAGCGAGAGCCAAAAAATCCTGGAAGCTGTTCAGGGGTTACAGCCAGGTCAGGATTTTCACCAGCCATCCTGTTTTACATGGAGAGGATTCTGTGGCATCCAGGAGAAAGGGCTGACTTGCTCCTGCCTCTCCTCTTGGCTCCTCTCCTGCCCCCTTCCCCGCTGCTTTTCTTTTACAAATAAGAAATATCTGAAGGTAAAGATCTGGATTTTGTAACTTTTTTTTTCAGACTGAGCTTCCCTTTACCGTGGAGGATTAAAAATTTCAAAATCAGTCTGTTCTAACCCAAGTGATGCATTCATTAAATCCATGAAACAGTCCCTGTGCTGTGCAGATCAGAGGCAGGACACACTTGTTCTCTAATAACTGAATTATGTAAGAGGTGACATAGAAATGGACAGGAATAACTCCAAGAGGACAAGTCATCAGAGAAAACCTGACTGGTTAAAACTTAGTCTTTACTAAATCCAGATTACATCATCCAAACTCTGTCCACCTTGGTGGATAGTTAAGCTCTTAATACAGTTAATTTGGGGTCTGAAGAGCCATACACTGAATTAACTTTTACAAACTAATGCTGTATCTAGCAATAGAGATATGTAAAGTGAGTTTAACATGCACAGAATTTCTTTGGGATGGCACCCAGGGTGACTCCTGGGGTTGGTCCTGTGCAGAGCCAGGAGTTGGACTTGATGATCCTTGGGGGTCCCTCCCAACTCAGGGGATTCTGTGATTCTAAAAACATTTCACACAGAGAGAAGCAATTATACCTAACGGTGTAAGGATGGACTTCCTGCCTTGATTAGCTGCTTTCTGTCCTTTGACAACTCTCAAATGTTTTGCAAATAGCACATTCACCTTCTGGGACATGTTACAGCCTCAGTGGTTTTAAAACATGAAATCTGGTGGTGATTCAGCACTGTGAGAATTGGGGGTGATGCTGGTGGCAGCTCAGGACTGACAGGTGGCAAAGATCATGACAATGCCCCCAAAACCATATCTTTTATCAAGATGAGTAAGAAATACATTGGAGCTGCCTCTCATCAATATACACCTTCCTGGAGCCAATGGCTAATAGCTGAAATCCTTGATCTAGGAGAAACAGGAGGGACCATGACTCAGGAAACACAAAACACTGAAGGAAATAGCTGCTCTTCTTCTACACAGAAAATTGGCACAAAGCCACCAATAGTTTGGACAAGGAAACCTCCAATAGACTGGAAGTACCACGTGAAGCTGCTCCAACCAAAACCCCTTTGTCACAGTCATCCTCCCAGAGAACATGGGAAAGGGAGAGACACACGAGATCTGTACCCAACAAATGAGGAATGAACCGGAATGATCCCAGACCCTCCAGAAGCCACGGAGCTGATGTGCTCCCAAATGGAAGAGCAGAGCATGAGGTGGGTTTTGCTTCCCACAGGTGGAGAATTTGTCTCCTCCGCAGCGCAAACAATTCCAGGGAATTGTTGTCATGCAGGGAGCACCTTTCACACCTGTGCACACCCAATTCCCATCCCAGTGGGAGGGTAATGGCCAAACTGCACCCACCTCCCACAGGGAACAGCCTCCCCTTGCTCCCACTGACCTGACACCTGCAGGACACAGTGGGGATGCACAAAATCAGGCTTTGTGGAAAACCTCCTGGTTTTTTCACTGCTGGAAAGCCTGGCTGGAGAAGACCATTTTCCACCCAATTTGTTACAGCTGTTCAGCTTCTGTCAAACGCCAGGATAAGGTGTTGAAAATGTTATTGTCAAAATAAAGGGGGAGAGGAAACAAGGGAGGAAAGAAGCCCTTGTCTTCCTTTGAGCGCAAACACTGGCAGAGGAAAGCCTTGCTTTCTGAAAGCCTTGAAAAGTGCTTCCCCTACTCCACACCAGCTCATTTTTACATGACTTTTCCATCTGGGATGCATTAACACAGCCTTGGGATAAACCACCTTCTATTATTTCCAAGGTTTCCATGGGAAAATCTAAGTTCCCGACAGAAGAACCTCTAAGAGCGAATCTTCCTTGTGAAAGGTGAAACAAAATGTATCAGATCTAAAAATTAATTCCTACAAACCTACTGAACAGAGGGCAGGGTGGAGAGTCAGAGCAAAAGGATTCAACACCTCACCGTGTGAGCAACTGGGATGGTGCTGATGCTTCTCTGCCACCCAGGTGAAGCACAAAGGCCACCCAGAAGCCCCTCTGGCTTTCATATGGACAAGCAAGTCCAGATGAAACCAAACTGCAGCACTCAATGGTTTCACTGCCTCAGGTTGGCACCTGCCAACCCCCCTCGAGGCCGGTCCAGCCCAACACCAACACGCAGCACCCACAGACCTCGTCAGGAAGAGCAGCTGGAAAAGTAGAGAACACACTTTTTTTTTTTGCCAGTTCTGCTGCTCCACTTGAGGCTTTGCTCAGGTCTTAGACCCGAGTGACAGCTGAGCCAGAGGCTGGACCCAGCTGGGCTCCAACACCCACATCTACTCACCGTGGTGCTCCAGCCCAGCCCGGCTTTGCGGGGCGGCTGCGGGAGAAGGTGCAGCTCTGACAGTGGGACACGGTGAGCAGAGAACTGAGGGGGTGGGATCCTGCAGTGACTCTTCCCAGGATTCATTAACCTACTTTGGCAGCAGCTCAGAATAGCTCACCCATTTGCATTTTAAGATCACGCAGGCAGGAGCGCTGCAAGGGTTGCTGTGGCATCCAGGAGCTGAACTGAGCCCAGATTTCCTGATCAGCCAAGCAAAATATTAATCACTAGTGCAACAAACCTCCCAAAATTATCAACCTGCCTTTCTTCTTCTTTTTTTAAACACTACATAAACTGCTGGTAAAGTAAAATCTTCTTAAGCTGGAGAAATGCTCAATACACAACACATGGCAAGGACAACCAAGCGAGGACCATCCTGCCTGGTGTCACACAGACATCGACGTTCTTCCATTGTGCCTTTCCAGTTACTGAACAGAAATTAATCTGTGCATGTTATTTTCTCCAGATTCCTTACACTTACAACCCACAGATCACCCAAGGGAAAAACCTGCTAGAGCACCTGGTTATTTGTGCTGATTTAACCCAGCTCTGCCCAAGGCTTCCTCTTTCACCGTATAAATAAGATCCAAAAGTAAATTAATTGATGCAAAGTTAGCAACCTCTTACCTCCCAATTTTTACCAACTGCTATGCAGGGGTCCAGTTCACCTTGGTCACTGCAGTTATAACTTGAATAATGCAAACCCACCCCCCTAATTAGCAAATACAGGGGTATTACTTAAATAATATCTATTATTTAACTAGAGTGCTGCATCCAGCTCTGGGGTCCCAACATAGGAAGGATGTGGATCTGCTGGAGTGTGTCCAGAGGAGGCCATGGAGATGCCGAGAGGGCTGGAGCTCCTCTGCTATGGAGACAGGCTGGGAGAGCTGGGAGTGTTTGGCCTGGAGAAGGGAAGGCTCCAGAGAGACCTTAAAGCCCTTTCCAGGGGCTCAAGGAGAGCTGGAGAGGGACTTGGGACAAGGGCCTGGAGGGACAGGACAAGAGGGAATGGCTTCCCACTGCCAGAGAGCAGGGTTAGATGGGATACTGGGGAGAAATTGTTCCCTGTGAGGGTGGTGAGGGGCTGGAATGGAATTCCCAGAGAAGCTGTGGCTGCCCCATCCCTGGAAGTGTCCAAGGCCAGGCTGGACGGGGCTTGGAGCAACCTGGGCTAGCAGAAGTTTAGAAGGTTCTGTGGAAGCCCCTGGAACTGAATGATCTTGAAGGTCCCCCCCAAACCCAAACCCTCCTGGGATTCCACGGCTGCAACCCAACCCCGCCAGCCCATCCCAGCCCATCCCGTGGGGCCGAGCAGTGCACAGGGAGGGCTGGGGCCGGGCACTCACCGATGATGCCGCTGTCCCGGCTCTCCAGGGTGGAGGTGGGGCTGGTGACGGCTCCGTAGGTGCAGTCCTTGGCCGTGACACTGGTGCTGACGGGAGGGAGGGTGGAGCAGGGGCTGCTGGCGGGCGGCGAGGCCGTGCTGCTGGTCAGGGTGGAGCAGGGGCTGATGCGCTGCGTCACCGCCGAGCTCTGCAAGGGAGGGCACACGTCACTCCCACAGCCGGGCACTGTCAGGGGCCCTTCACGGCTCACACTGGGCTTGCTTCGTGTGGGGAAGGCAAAAAGTGCTTTACTGTCCAAAATGGGGCCACCCCCCACCTGTGGCAAACAGACACTGGGCTCGTTTTCTCCTTCAGAGATCCCAACTTCCACGTTCAACAGGAACCACGAAAAACACAGACAGTGGGATTTACCACAAGCTTGATTCCACACTTGATCAGGAATTTTTTAATTGAAAGTTTAAAAAAAAAAAAACAAAAGGCAAAATCCACGCTAGAGAGCTACATTCTGAGCCTCTGTTGGAAAAGATCTCCGGGTGGGAAGCACACGGTGGGATCTCACCTTTAAAAGACCATACCCAGGAAATCCCACAAAGACCTCTGGGCCATTTCCATCTGCTCAGAACCCTC